TTATTGTCACTTTCTGTAACAGAGTAGAAATAAGGGTCAGAACCAAAACAGGCTCAGAATTGGCCCCAGTGGCCCTCAAGCACATTTACAATAAAACAAAAATGGGTCCTTAACTTACTACCTTCAATGCACGTTAGGAAAGCTGCCACAACAATGGAGTCCAAGCCATATTAAATGAGTTTATTAGATACTGATTTTCCTGATCTTTAGGAATATTTTAAAAAACTAGAGGTCTATATAATAAAATATCCAAAACAGGCCTTTAAAATACTTTTGTAGGGGCTCTTGGGTGGCACATTCGGTTAAGTGTCTGACTCTTGGTTTTGGCTCAGGTCATGATCTTGGGATTGGGAGATCAAACCCCGGTCAGGCTCCATGCTAAGCATGGAAACTGCCTGGGATTCCTTCCCTCTTATTCTGTCTCTCCTGCTCATGTTCTCTCTCTTTCTCAAGTAAGTAAATAAATACAGAATATTTTTCAAGTGTTCTTTTTAAAAACAATGGTTCTACAGAAGAAAACTTCTCTTTTCACCTAGTTTACCACTTAATATTTCTAAAACTCTGAAACCTACTATCACTTTCACCTCAGTTGAACATAAGTCTGCCAAGAAACTGCAATTAACATAAGTTAGAGCACAACTTCCTCTTGGAAAAATAAAACACCAGGTATATTTCACCTAAATACAAGCAGAATTTGATTACATAAACTCTGAAAAATGGCCTATTTTCTTTGTTGCAACTGTATTCTTATACTTCACAAACAATAGGGATCACATCTGATCCTTTATTGAAATAATCCATTTAAATTTAGAAAAATTTTTATCACGATCTAGCTTATTACAGTGGAATTCAGTTTAATCACAAAATGATTGATCAAATAGAAGAAAATGACCAAGTGCTATGATTTCTGATGGGCTATCAGTAATGGCAAATTTAATGTTTGTAATACTTAAAATGCTTTCAGTGGCTCACATTCATGTTTCCTACTGCTTCATATCTTGCTAATATGTTCCAGAATACATAAGAAGACTAAAATTTAGATGACTTAAAAAATTAAGTCCAGGACTAATCAGTTTTGTCCCTAGCAGAGTTCATATTTCACTGGCTTAACCAAAAATATTCATTGAACATACTGTAGACGCCAAAAATATCAAGAATATACTATTCAAAAGTGAAGCTGGGAAGCACAAATACCCACAATGTTGTCCAACAGACTCAAAATAAATGTACTGAATTGAATTAAAAACTGTAGTTTATGAAAATAAGCTATATTATTTTGTTATTGTTTCTTATGATCAAAATCCTAAATGTTGATTTAAGTCTAAGAGTGAATTCTTTAGGAATTGGGTGGTGGATAAGCAGATAGGTTACCTCTTCCAGTATACTTTAAGTTCTGCCTTAGGAGTATTCCAATTATCTAGATACCTACTCTCACTTCAACTTGGAGTAATGTTCCATAGAGCTACTGTAATCATCACGTCATTGGGCATTCCAAAAGAAACTGTATTCAGCATGTTATCTGGAAAGTACTAGAGTTTGGGAGCCCTTAAGGAAACTGGTACACAAAATGAAAATCAATGCTGTTTATAGATAATTGATATTGTTAGAAAGTTAAATATCATGATTTTTAAAAAGTCAAGAAACAATCCCAATGTATTTTGCTAGGAAAAGAAAATAGCCCATACATTTTTTAAAACTGCTTAAGAAAACAGGTGAGAATGGGTACTACTACAGGGAAACCAAACCAGTATTCTTTGTTTTATGATAGGAACACTAGACTAAATCTATGTGAGCAACAATTGCTGAACTATCAGTTCCCTGAGGGAAGAGACACAGATTACCTCCCAAGTTCTGAGTACTTTTATTAGATATCTATTCAGTTCTAGGAACTTCCTCAGATACTGAGAATACAGAGATAGATAAAATATGATCCTTGGCCTAAAAATTTAGTGGAAAGGATATAGTTTCTTTTAAAACTTATAACAAAACCGTGTGAGAAACAGAGAAGGAATACCTAACTTCCCCTTCTAATACACAGAAAAATGATTCTAAACGTTTACTGACTTGATTTCAACATTTAATAAACTTTGATTAGTAGGATTAAAATTCTACAATGCCATTTATAGCAGACCCTAAAGATAGAATATACAAATCAAGAACCCTAAAACAGGGACATCTGGGTGGCTCAGTGGCTGAGTGTCTGCCTTTTGGCTCCAGGCATGATCCTGGATTCCCAGGATCGAGTCCCACACGGGATCCCTTGCACGGAGCCTGCCTCTCCCTCTGCCTGTGCCTCTGCCTCTCTCTCTCTCTCTCTCTCTCTCTGTCTCATGAATGGATAGATTTAAAAACTCTAGGAAAAAAACAACAACCTTGGTTTAAAAACAAAAAAGAACCCCAAAATACTTTCTGAATATTTAAGGGTTAAGGAGAATGGGGGTGTTAAATTCTGAAAAATGTTTTTTAATCTATGTTTCCTCAAAACTATATGAGCTCCTCAGAGTTCTCAAGCTCCCTAAAAGGGATCACAGTGGCAAATGTATTCCAGATCAGCCTTAAAAGGTATTTTTATTCCTCTCAATTTTCATTGGCCTTTCACTACCTACCTCAAATAAACAGTCTGTAAAAATGATATGCTTGCTATGTAAACAGATTCAAGACAGGATCCTTAGTATTAAATGACTAGTCAGTAACTGGAAACTCTGAGCATTTAAAGTTTTTGATTCATAGTGGTAGCAAACTTTCCTCCTAGAATGCTACGTGGGAGTTCTATCATTACATCTTCATGTGGCAGATAATGTCAGCAAAATCATCTGCAAGAGTGGAGCATACCTATACCCAATATTCTCTTTACTGTATAAAGATAGATATTTCCTTTCAATAAATTTAGGTGAACCCAATTTTCGACTTAAAAATTACTGCTTATTTATTTCATGTTATTACGTAAGAAAAGTAACAAAGTTCAGGTTACTCAAAAAGGGTAACAGCATCAGAGATTCCTCCTGCAGTTTGTTTGTAAGGTAAAAATCTTAGAAGAATGTGTCACATGACTTTAAACATGACAAAATCCTTTTCCTGATTTTCATACAGTGCTGAAAGAAAAAAAATTATCCAAGAAATTTTATACATAACACATAAAGTGTAAGATCCTTGTTAAATAATGCAAGATGACCATTAAGAATTTCTTTACATTGTGGTTTAGAAAAACCGCACATAGCATAAATGTTAGCATTTTAACCATTTCTAAGTGTACAATTCAGTAATGTTAAGTACATTCACATTGTTGTACAGCCAATCCTCAGAAATTTTTATCTTGCAAAACTGAAACTCTACACCCATTAAATAACAAATCCCACTTCCCACTTCCTCCAGCTCCTGACAACCACCATTCTACTTTTTGTTTCTATGAATTTGACTACTCATGATATCTCCATATAAGAGGAATCATACTGTATTTACCTGTTTGTGAATGGCCTATTTCAGCTAGAATTATGTGCCTAAGGTTCATCCATATTCTATAGCCTGTGTCAGAATTTCTTCCCTTTTTGAAGCGGAATAATATTCTATTCTAAGTATCTACCACATTTTGTTTATCCATTCATTTGTCAATGGATGTCTGGGTGGCTTCCACTTCTTGGGTATTGTAAACAGTGCTGCTATGAACATGGGTGTACAAAGAGGTCTTTGAGATCCTGTTTTCAATTCTTTTGGATTTTTTTTTTAATTTTTATTTATTTATGATAGTCACACACACACAGAGAGAGAGGCAGAGACACAGGCAGAGGGAGAAGCAGGCTCCATGCACCGGGAGCCCGACATGGGACTCGATCCCGGGTCTCCAGGATCGCGCCCCGGGCCAAAGACCGGCGCTAAACCACTGCGCCACCCAGGGATCCCAATTCTTTTGGATTTAAAACAGAGGTAGAATTGCTGGATCATATAGCTATTCTTTGTTTAAGAATCTCCAAAATATTCTCTTTAGTGTGACATTTTATACTCAAAATGATTTTTAGTTCTTATTTTTTAAAATATTGTATTTATTTATTCATGACAGACACAGAGAGAGAGGCCAAGACATAGGCAGAGGGAGAGGCAGGCTCCCTGTAGGGAGCCTGATGTGGGACTCGATCCCAGAACCCCAGAATCACGACCCGAGCCAAAGGCAGATACTCAACCACTGAGCTACCCAGGTAGCCTCAAAATGGTTTTTAATCTTTATTTTTTTTTTTAAAAGCTTCCTTCTCTTTTTTTTTTTTTAATTTTTATTTATTTATGATAGTCACAAAGAAAGAAAGAGAGGCAGAGACATAGGCAGAGGGAGAAGCAGGCTCCATGCACCGGGAGCCCGACGTGGGATTCGATCCCGGGTCTCCAGGATCACGCCCTGAGCCAAAGGCAGGCGCCAAACCGCTGCGCCACCCAGGGATCCCTGTTTTTAATCTTTAAAAGAAATAATAATTTCATAATGACAACAAAAAATTTTAAACTTTTTTTTCTAAAAAAGAACAAACATTTTTTAGAAATTGTATGAGCTTAATGGGACTGAATCACCACTTTCCCTTACATACTTCAGATTGCAACCATACTAAAATAAATAATAATAATAATAATAATAATGGCATTTTTATCAGTATTGTGAATAAACTTGAACACAAATATATACACAAAGAAAAAATGGTATTTTAAGGAAAACTAATAAGATCAACAATGAAAACCCACAGCTTTAGATTGTGTAAGACACAAAACCTTGCCCTACCAACTACTTACGTGGTGGGAAAAGTTACTACCTAGCACTGATTCAGAGGTATATTTCAAAGATAATTTACCTAAAAAAGTCTTTCCTGCTATCTATTATACTACTAAAGATACCACCAAATTAGTTTCATATTAAGATAAAGGTCTTTTACAAATGGAAGTTTTCAGGATTAAAAATTAATACACATGTACACACACAAATAGATGTATGTATCTCTATTATCAAAGACCAGAAGAGAAATTACCTGATGATTTCTTCATGATACAGAGAACTAACAACAGGCCCACCAAAACCGGTATTTGCTTCTTTTCCTTTCTTCTCTGGTGACTGTAGGGGGAAAGAAGGTGAAAAAAAGATATATGGATTAAGGCAGTGTGTATTTAAAAGCGTTACAAAACACTATTTTGCTAAGGAATACTAAAGATTTGAGGTCCATCATTTCTCTAAGGCTCTAGTAACAATTTCAAGATAGTATCCAAAAGGCAAGGTGACCCACAGGTCATCAGAGTAATGGAATAAGTTACCCACCAGAAAATCAAGGTCATTCCACTACCGTGCTCTCAAGCCACCTAAAGCCTATCATTCCCTGATTATAAAATGCTAGCTTTGTTCACTGTGGAAAATACTGATGCTCAATGTAGAAAAGTGAAAATGAAAATACCATATGTGAATATGATCATGAAAATCCTATCTAACAAAATCAAATTTTCCAAGTTAAAAAAAGAAAACTAAACTGTAATACACTCCAAACCCAACCATAAAGAAAAAAAAATTAAATAAATAGAAAATAAAAATAAAAATAAACCTTTTTACGTAGCAAGAAGAGAGAAGATGGAAGAGAGAAGAAAAGAAGTTATGATCTAATACATTCTTTTTTTTTTAAGATTTTATTTATTCATGACAGACACAGAGAGAGAGAAAGAGAGGCAGAGACACAGGCAGAGAGAAAAGCAGGCTCCACGCAGGGAGACTGACGTGAGACTCGATCCCAGATCCCCAGGATCACACCCCGGGCTGAAGGCGGTGCTAAACCGCTGGGCAACCGGGCTGCCCCAGGAAGTTAGGATCTACAGTAAATGAAAAAAGAAGCAAATTGTTAGGGAAAAACTTTCCAAAATCAAATTCAATAGGTTTTGACCCTCAAAATTCTCAAAAAGCACAAAATTAAGATTAAATTTAGAAATAAGACTCTTCTAAAACATAACATGGAAGAAGTAAACTTGGATGTTATTACTATATCCTAAAAGGTTCAAACTGCAGCCTCCGCAAAAGCCCATATCTCCTGCAACAATGACAGTTTTTAGGTCAGGGCACCCCACAAAAAATCAAAATTCTGAACATAAATATCTTAGAATCAAAACTAATGCTTTTATTGTTCAATTTGACTAATTAGTTTTACTTAAGAAAAATACAGGCAGTCCTCATATACCTGGGTTTTCTTCTTTCCTGTTCTTTGAAGAAGGAGTTTTTGTTTTATTATTGTTAATTTTTTTTGTTACTTTTGGTTTGCCAACCACTGGGAAAAGGAAAAAGATCCTATAGACAGCATATTCTATGAGTTCCTAACATCATGGACAACTTAAGTTTTGAGAAAGGGTGGAAACTTTTGAAATGCATCAATACAGTTATGAGTTTATGACAGAAACAAAGTTACAAAGTCATAAACAACTACTGTCATGATTAAATGACCAAGTACAGTACTCCATGCTGGCAAATAAGAAGCACCAAGTAAATGCCAGATCCCTCTCTTCCCTGAGGACCATTCTTAGAGAATAAATGCTGCAAAGAATTTTCAGGATAGGGATCCCTGGGTGGCGCAGCGGTTTGGCACCTGCCTTTGGCTCAGGGCGCGATCCTGGAGACCCGGGATCGAATCCCATATCGGGCTCCCGGTGCATGGAGCCTGCTTCTCCCTCTGCCTGTGTCTCTGCCTCTCTCTCTCTCTCTGTGTGACTATCATAAATAAATAAATTTAAAAAAAATTAAAAAAAAAGAATTTTCAGGATAGACAATATTTTCTTTATACTAAAAAAGCCACAACCAAAGGGAGAACTTATTTAATCTAATTGTGTTCTAAATACATACTCCCTTAGTATGATAAAGTTGAAGCATACCTGGTGTTTAAGACATGCTAAATGTCTAACAAAACTGAAAAGAGAAAACTGTGCCCCAAGTACAGCTTCCTGACCAAGAACTGATTCCAAGATAACACAGGGGAAAATCAAAGATGACCCTGGATTTGGCAATGACTTTTTAAAATACAACACCAAAGGGCGCCTGGGTGGCTCAGCTGGTTGAGCATCCAACTCTTGGTTTTGGCTCAGGTCATGATTTCACCCGTGGCGAGATGAAGTCCCTCTATCAGACTCCTCACTTAGTGACTGTAGGAGGAGTCTGCTTGAGGTTCTTTCTCTTCCTCTCCCTATGCCTCTCCCTGATGCAGTTACACTTGCACTCTCTCTCTCTAAAACAAATAAATCTTAAAAAAAACACTAGAGGCATGATCATGAGAGAAAAAAAACTGATGTCTTTATTAAAATTTAAAATGTCTGTTCTCTGAAAGATACTGTTAAAAGAATGACAAACCACAAACTGAGGGAAAAAAATCTTTGCAAAACGGCTATCTGATGAAAGACTGGCACACAAAATATATTTTTTTAAATCCTCTTAAAACTTGGGACGCCTGGATGGCTCAGTGGTTGAGCATCTGCCTTCGGCTCAGAGCATGATACCAGAGCCCTGGGATCAAGTACCACATCGGGTTCCCTAAAAGGAGCCCCATTCTCTCTCTGCCTGTGTCTCACCTCTCTGTGTGTCTTATGAATAAATAAATTTTAAAAATTAAAAAAAAATAAAATCCTCTTAAAACTCAACAATAAGAAAAAAAATTAAAGGCTAATATCCCTAATGAACATAGATACAAAAATCCTCAAAAGAAAAATGAGCAAAACTAAATTCAACAAAATATTAAAAGATCATATATTATAATCAAGTGAGATTTATTTCAGGGATACAAGGAGGTTCAACATTTACAAATCAATTAACATCAGTTGGTCCGCGGGCTGTGGGTTATTGTTAAGCTGTTTAACAAATCAATTAACATGATGCAGCACCACATTAATAAACTGAAGGATAAAAATCATATGATCATCTTAATAGAAGTAGAAAAAGCATTTGACAAAATTCAACATCCATTCATGACAAAAATTCTCAACAATGTGAGTACAGAGGAAACATAACTCAATATAATAAAGGGCATATAGGACAAACCCACAGCTAACATCATACTTGATTGTCAAAAGCTCAAGGCTTTTCCTCTAAGATGAAGAACAAGACAAGAATGACCACTATCATCACTTTTATTCAACATAGCATAAATAATGCAATTTTAAACATGGGCAAAAGATCTGAACACACACCTCATCAAAGAAGATACACAAATGGCATATAAGCAAATAAAAAGATATCAAACATCATACATTGTTAGGGAAGTGCAAATTAAAACAATGAGATATTACAACACACCTCTAGAATGGCTAAAATACAAAGACTGACAATACCCAATGCTGGTAAAAAATGTGAAAGCACCAGGAACTCTCAATTGTTGCTGGATGAAATGTAAAATGGAATCACCACTTTGGAAGATGGTTTGCCAGTTCTTCTAAAAGTAAACATATATATATATATATGATCCAGCAATCTTGCTTCTAGGTATTTACCTCCCAAAATTGAAAATTTATATCCACAAAACATCAATATTTAAAGTAGTTTTTTTTTTTGTAGCTGGCAAAACCTAGAAGCAACAAAAATGTCCTTCAATAGGTGAACAGATAAACATATAAACTGTGGTACATCTATATAACAGAATATTTTCTGATAAAAAGAAATGAGCTGTTCTATATTAACTAAGAAAAATAAGAGTAAACAACTAAAATCATTAATTAAAAAGGAGACTTTACAATTGATACCACAGAATTTTAAAAAAGATTTTAAGAGACTATTATGAACAACTGTACGCCAACAAGTTGAATAACCTAGAGAAAATGCATAAATTCCTGGACATATACAACCTATCATGATATAATTATGAATAAAAAATGTGAAGAGACCTATAATCATTAAGGAGATTAGTCAGAAACTTAAAATCTCCCAATGAAGAAAAGCCCAGGACCAGAAGACTTCACTAAGGAATTTTAACAAATATTTAAAGAATTAACACAAATCCTTTTCAAACTCTACCGAAAAACTGAAGAGGAGGCAACAAACCTAACCTCATAACACGTTGATACCAAAGACAGACACAGAAACTAGAAGAAAATTATAGAGTAATATGTGAGGAATACTGATGAAAAAATTCTCAACTAAATACTAGCTAACTGAATACAACAGTACATTAAAAGGATTATATACCATGACCAAGTAGGATTTGTTCTTCTGAACATAAGGATGGTATGGTTCAACGTATGAAAATTGATCAGTGGAATACACAACATTAACAAAATGAAGAAAAACTAAGTGATCATCTCAACTGGTACAGAAAAAAGTATTTGACAAAATTCAACACCCTCTCATGATAAAAAAAAAAAAAACTCAGTAAACTAGAAATAGAAGGAAATTATTTCAATACAATAAAGCCAAATACAAAAAGCCCATAGCTAACTTCATACTCAATAGTAAAAAAACTGAAAGCTTTTTCTCAAAGATTAGCAACAAGGCAAAGATGCCTAATCATAATATTTCTGGAAGCCCAGAAGTACTGAAGTCCTAAATAGCCAAAACAATTAGGCAGAATTAAAAAAAAAAGTATGCAAATTGGAAAAGAAGTAGTAAAATTATCCCCATTCACAGACATGATATTATATGCAGAAAACCCTAAAGATCCCCTCCACATACACATATATAGATACACAAGAAACTGATAGGACTAATGAACAAATACAGCAAAGTTGCAGGATACAAAATTAACACACTGAAATCATGTAGTGTCTGAGAGAGGCAGAAATTAAGTAAGTTTTCTAATATTAAGTGATCAGTGTTATGGAAAAAGAATAAATGTGAGGAAGAAAACTGCAATTTTAGGGCCTCACCGAAAAGGTCATTTGAATAAAGACAAGGGAAGTAAAGAAGTGAGCCTTGCATATATCTGGGGGAGACTTTGATATATAGGAAACAGCTAGTACAAAGGCCCTATGGTGAGGGTATGCTTAGAATGTTAGAGAACTTAAGTACTTTGCTGAAGGCTAATTAATGTATTTTAGGGGGCAAGACTAGAGGCAAGAACACAAGGTTGTTCACAAGACAATCAAAGGTTCTATTGGTGTCATTCA